TTCAAGGAAACAGCAAATTGCGATCTTTCTCAAAAATAAAGCTCGCTCAATTGCAATTTCGTTTTCGTTTTACTTGAGCAACCAGAAGTGCGGTCATTCGATTTTTTTCTCTCGCATCTTCCCATTCGTTTCGAATATGTTTTAAGTGTTTTGTTTTCCTTGTGAATGCCAATTGAAACACAGCTGATCAATGAGAAATCAATTGGAAAGCTCGAAAGTTGATTCGACTTGTGCATTTCGATTTGCATGCGATTGCACTTGATCCATTGGCACTTTTGATTATTTACTATACTCAATGTCTCAAACGAGCGGCCCTCCATAAATATCACAGGTCTATCAAAAAGCAAAAATATATAGAGACGCGCAAACTAATAACTGACCTTCCCCAATGTACACACACACACACACATATGTATGTGTGCATATACATGTATGTTTTTGCTGTTGGCTATTTGTTTACTATTAATTGAAGAGAAACACAGAGTTATCATTTGTTTATGTTTAAGTACACTAAAGTTCTTAAAAACCAATAATAAAAATAAATATGCGGCCCACACACACATGCACATGCACACGCTTATACATATCTGTATATGGTATATGGGATGCATCAGAAAATGTTAAAAGAAATCTAAAAAAAATGAATAATTTGGCACAGAAGCCTTCTGCAAAACAAAATCATTCTCGTCTTTTGTATTAACCTTTTCTACGTTTTTTTGTTTTAGGCTCTTATGCCAAGAGAGTGGAACAGCGTTCAGTGGGGTATATCAACTATAACATGTAATTTGCATGATCGAAATACACTTAGGGAATTAAAATTCTGTGCAATCACTTCAAGATCTTTAATCAAGTCCGTGTTGATTTACGCGATATTTTAATTGAAGTAAAATATTAGCATATTTCCCTTATGTGGACAGATCAAATCTTTATATAAACTGTAATAGAAGTTCTCATGCAAATTTCTACGGCAATAAATAATGATCTGTAAACGATAAGCGGCAGTTATTTTACCAACATTTTATCTGTAATTATAATTTAATTATCATTTAATTTCATTAAACTTTAATTTTTTTGATTTCAATTTTCAACTAATGCAGTTTAATCTTGTTAATTACTGTTCTTTGACTTTTGACTACCTCAAGGTAGTTTATTCAGGGAACTGGTAAATTAAATTGTATGATAAAACATCATATATACATATGTATATGCAGTAAATATATTTCATGACCATTGTACTTTGCACTTATTCGCTACTCTCCAGACAAGACCAAATCAGTTTATTTTTAAGCTCCCGCTCATTCACAATAATAATAATATACAACGAAAATATATATATACATATATATATTTTTTTAATTATTTATAGAATACGATTCGGTACACACTTAAGACTTTTAACCGAGAACAATTTTTAAATTGCGTTAAAATGTTGTGCATTAGCAGCAAAATAATTAATATAGCTTGGCAGATGCCAAAATTTATGCACAATTAATGTTGGAATTTCTTATTACATTATAATGAAAAACGAAATAAACGAATGAGTGAAGCAAAATACCCTGTGAACGAATTGTATTTTAATGTGACATGTATAAATAAATTTAACGTGAAACAGAGTCTTATAATATATATATATGTATATCTAATAGAAGATACTTAATACATATGTTCATTGTAATGATTATCAATAATTATAAAATATTTCAGGTGTCAATTTTTTTAGATTCCAATATACAAATCTTCAAAAGAAATCTTCAGTAGAAAATCTTCTTCTTGATAAGATGCTTTTGCTTTTCGAGGCATATCAATTAGTAGCTATTGGTTATGTTCTTTTTTGCTTTAATTTATCAGTATGTAAATATTTTATTCTGTGCTTGTCTTTCGTGTGCAAGGCAGACCTGCTACGCCGAGCGAAAGAGCGAGCGAGCTTGAAGCAAATGACGAGAGCAATTACAAGGTGAAACGGCAATAGACAAAAAGAGAAAGAGTGCAAAGCGTGAACTGCAACAACAGAGCAGAGAACAAGCAGGAGACAAACGCAAAGAGCAAAATGCATCGATGCTGCTGCAGTTGGAGGGTGCTGACGTCGCTGCTGCTGGCGGGTAAGTGTGAATTATTTATGCCCTGACAAAGGTCACGATGTGAAACTATCAGAGTTCGAGTCCGCAAACAAGCCCAACTCTAAGTTTGAGGCCTATTTTGCTTCCGACTATAATTCTCCATTCAAGTCTGAGGCTGCGTCTGCGTCTGCGTCCGAGTCCTTGTCCGTGTCCGTGTCCGTGTCCGTGTCTAGGGGCTTGCGTCTGGGAGCTGTCAGTCAGTTATCGCAGTGATCAGGCGAGCACTCTTAGTCGGCTTGATTGGCAGTTGCGTGACTTCGACAGATGCGCTGCACTGAAGAGGGGACGGAAGACAGCATAGGGGAGGTGAACAGCGCGAGAGCACGAGCAACAGAGTGAGGGGAAGTGTACCAAAACCCGAAAAGTTTAAATTTATGAAATGCCAATTTCACTTATGCCCAACTTTATTACCCCTGACGCACATTTGCAACTTTGTGCTGCAGCAGCAGAACGTGAGTCGGAGAGGGACAGTTGCAGAGAGTGAGTGAAAAGGAGTGCGAGCGAACGGTAGAGTGGACCAGAAGTGTGAGAGACTTAGCGGCACCAAGTCTCAGATTGCCTTTTAGCTTTCAACTTGAGCACTATCCACTGTTTGTTTGCCAGTTTGTTTATTTGTCTTCTTCTTCTSTTCCGTTCCCCACACACCGCCCGCACGCCGTTCGTTACATTTTTGTACTCGAATTTCGCTGGAACTGAAATGTGCATTGTGCCAAACAGCGTTGCTGATGGCGGTCGTAAGGTCAGAGGAATGCGGCCAGGAGGAGTTCACCAAGTGCGCCGAACCACTTGAAATGCTGCATTTAACGTCGGAATTTTCGATTGGCGCTGCCAAGAAGGAGGAATTGGATAAACTTTGTCAGTAAGTTGTTCCCATTGTTGTTGTTGTTGTTGATATTGTTGCAGTTGCAGTTGCCGTCGCCGTTGTCTGAATTGAAACAATAGCATTAACGCCATCATGTTTGTTTTCCAATGTCTAATGAATAATGTCTAATGTCTAATGTCTAATGTGTCGGCATCTGCTGCTGCTTTTCAGCGAGCTGCGCAAGGGCGTGCGCTGCATCCAGAGCTATACGCGTCGCTGCATGGATCTGCAGCAGCGCAACCAGTTCAACAAGCTGTACCATGGCACCAATCAGTTCATACGAGATCTCTGTAACAAAGGCGAGTTCCAAGAGGGTAAGTTCTCACCATAATACGCGCCCTGCGGCTCCAACAGCTGTAGCTCATGTGTCGCTCTTCGCAGAGTACCTGAAGCATGCGCCCTGCTCAGAAATGGCCAAGAAGGATTTCGAGGTGTGCGCCAATCGGTACAAGGAGACCATGGTGTTCCTCAAGCCCAACAAGAACCAGGAGAACGCCGAGAACGGCACGCTGAACGAGAACATCAAAACGATTTGCTGGTGAGTGCAACACGTGATGTTTTCATAATATTTCCTATTTAATCTTTCATATTTAATCACTTGATATTCACATTTCGCTGAATCAGCTTTAAATGATCTACTCGCTGATAGTCCCCCAGCGCAACAACAAAATACAAATGACATACGTACACGTTAAATGTAACTAAAAGTCGTTTGACAGCAGCTCAGTAGCCAATTCAGCTCTGCCTCAGCTTTTCCAAAAGTGTAAATATAAAATGTTTGTTTCGTCAAACTTGTTTGCAGCAACTCGATAATCGCTATCATGATTGAGTCTAAAAACCCAAGAAAAAAATTAGATTAAAAAGACAGCAAGACTGGTTCGCCTTGAATTGGCAGGTCGATTCTTACAGTTATTTATTTATTTTTTTAGGAGTAAATAACTCTTCTAATAGATGGCCTAAATTTCATTTGAAATATGCATATATTAATACGTAGCTATTTCACCAGATTTGTTCTCTTAGTAATGATTTCCAGTAGTGATTTTGTTTTACTTTTTCAGTTCAATTCGATTCTAAATTTAAATAAAATTAACAAATATCAATTGAAATCATTTGGAAATTTACTGTCTACTTTAAAAATTTACTATCTACTTTATAGTTCTATTAACGAGTTAGTGGACTGCTCTGAGAACGCGGCTCGTAAAATTTGTGGCAATGAAGCGGCCAAGTTTACACGCGAACTGGTTGATAAATACGCCAACAGCTTAACCAAGGTGAAGTTTTGATACCATTCATCAAAATTACGAATATGCATTTACAGGAAGCCCAACAGCATTTTATTTTATTCCTTAAGAAGTCTTACCAGGTGGGAGCTGAGCCAAAACTTTCTCTTTTTGATCTTTCATTTCCAGATCTACTGCGAGGATTTCACTCGACACCCGCAAATATGTAGAGATGGCGAAGGGGATGGGGCCAGTGCCTTGGGGCGCAATGGCTTGGGGCTAGTCATATGCCTCTTGTTGTCACAGCTGGTCAGATAGATGGAGATGATTGCTGTCATGCAGGACAATTACGTTTCCTTTCTGAACACACGCACACATGCACATCCACAGCCACACATAATTCAAGTTATACAATAGTTAAGGTTTCTAGATCACAGAGGAGCAGCAAGCGAAGAAGAAGAAGAAGAGAAAGAAGGAGAACAAAAATGTTATTTGTTGTATACGTTCACGCGCTTGCTTAGAATTGCTAGGCAGAAGATTTAGGGTTGATCGATAGAACGCTGAGGCGGAAGATAAGAGCAAACATACTTAAAAATTTCTGGAGTACATTTAAAAGTTAAGCGTATAGTCAGTGAGTATACATACTACCCAGATATATATATATA